CGAGATGCCTGCTTCAAACCATAGAGGGACTTCCTTAGTTTGCAGACATAACCAGGTTTAGACATTCCAGGGGGAAGCTCCATGTACACCTCTTCTTCAAGTTCTCCATCAAGGAAAGCATTGCTAACATCTAATTGAAACATTTCCCAATTCTTTGCTGCTGCAACTGCCAAGAGAGTTTTAACTGAGTTCAACTTAGCAACTGGAGAGAATGTATCTAGGAAATCAATTCCATAGATTTGTGTAAAACCCTTAGCCACCAGTCTGGCTTTATGTCTCTCTATGTCACCATCAGCATGAAATTTTATAGCATAAACCCATTTGTTCCCTATGACCCTTTTGTTCTGTGGCCTAGGGACAATGTCCCAAGTTCTATTAGCTTCTTGAGCTTCAATCTCTACATCCATAGCCCTTCTCCAACGTTCATCTTTTACTGCTTCTTCAAAAGATGCAGGCACTACCACTGAATCCATTGCCATCACATACTTCTTATAACCTGGTGACAATTGATCATATGACAAGCAACCAACCATAGGATACAAAGCCTTTTTATGTGTGGTTCCTAAATGCATGACATAATCATTATACTTTACTGGTTTCACTATGTCCCTTGCTGGTTTTCTGATGGCAATAGGTAAGGAAGTGTTTGGTGGTGAAGGAGGTATAGGGATAGGTGTCTCTATCTGACCTGAGTCAGGGAAAGGAGAATGAGAAGGAGAATGAGAAGGAGGGGTAATGGGAGATGGAGTTGGAGAAGGAGAAGAAGAAGAAGTGGATTCTGGATTTTCAGGTATAACAGGTAAATGATTGGAATTTGGTGAAGATTCTGGTTCAGGAACAGAAGGTGGAAAAGCAAAATGTTCTGTGGTTGTTGGGGTAAAATTGAAAGGTACTTGAGTCTTGGATGTAGAACCAGAATCAATAGATAAGCAAGGAATGATGTGTTCATGAAATATCACATCTCTAGAACAGAATACCTTTTGTCCTTGCAAATCATACAGTTTGTACCCTTTAATTCCTGAAGGAAATCCTATGAAAACACAGGGTAAAGCTCTAGGAGAAAACTTTGTTCTGTTGTGATGTAAAGTACTTGCATAACACAAGCACCCAAATACTTTCAAGTTTGAGAGGTTAGGAGGATTGCCATAGAGAATTTCATAGGGAGTTTTATTGTCAATGGCAACTGAAGGTAATCTGTTTATTAGGTATACTGCATGAAGGATGAAATCTGACCAGAACTTAAGGGGTAATCCAGATTGGAATTTAAGAGCTCTAGCTACATTTAAAATGTGTTGGTGTTTCCTCTCCACTCGAGCATTTTGTTGTGGAGTCTCAACACAAGACATTTGGTGAGTGATTCCAAACTTGGAATAGAAATCTGGCATGTGGAACTCCCCTCCCTGATCAGATCTAACAGTCTTAACCTTCCTCTCAAAATGAGTTTGGACCATCACACAGAAGTCTTGTAGCAATTTTCTTGCTTCATGCTTAAATTTCATAAGATAGGTCCATACACACCTAGACTTGTCATCTACAATGGTGAGGAAGTAATGAAAACCATTGTAACTTGAAACTGCCAAAGGGCCCCAAATATCAACATGGATCAATTCCAAAACATTGTTTGCCACAGACTGGCTTGAAGGAAAAGGAAGACGTTTCTGTTTAGAAACAGGACAAACATCACAGTGATGAACATTAGAAATATCTATACTAGGAACAGTTTTCTTTAATGCTTTAACTCTAACATCAGAAGGATGTCCAAGTCGCCAATGCCAGAGATCAAATGACTGTGGTGTAAGGTTGTGAGTCTTGAGAGAGTTGGTATGTATAAGTGTTTCATATGTGTTGGTGGGTATGAGCTGGTATAGACCTCTAGTCTCTTGGGCAAAACCAATCGTCTTCGAGGTCAGAAGGTCCTGGATGGAACAAATGGTGAATTTGAAAGTGAGTGTAACTGGTAGGGATCTAGTTAGTCTACTAACTGATATCAGATTGAAAGAAAAAGTTGGAACAAACAGGACATTGTGGATTATGAGATTGGGGGTTAACTCCACTGTCCCAGAGTGAGTAGCAGGAGTTTTAGATCCATTTGGTAAGGTAATAAAGACATTTTGAATAGGTAGACATTTAGTGAAACTAGAAATAGAACATGTAACATGATCAGTTGCCCCTGTATCTAAGAACCACACATTGACTAGTTCCAATGGATGATGCTGGAAATATGATGTAAGGGTGTATTTACCTGCAAAATTTGGAGTCTTTGAGATATGCCTGCTCACTGAATTAACCATTGGCGGCTGATGATGATGAGGAGAACTGATAGCTGGTCCAGGTGAGCCAGGTGAAGAAGGTGAGCTTGGCGAGCTGAACTGAGTCAGAATGCGTTGAAGTCTGCTCAGATCTTCATTAGACAGCCTTAGGTTTGTGAAACCATCATTGCCTTCACTCACTGTCCTGGTTTCTGGTTTTGGCAAAATTCCTCCTTCTGTATTGTCTGAACCTTGAATTTGCCCTACAAACCCAGAAGATGACCCATTCTCTTTGTTCTTCCTCTTAAGCTTATAACAATCAGCAATAACATGGTTATCCTTTTTGCAATATCGGCAAAACAAAGGACCTCCCTGACCACCCTTAGCATTCTCTTTCCCTTTGGATTGATTTGCAGCCATCAGTGCAACTGATTCAACTTGAGAGTCCTGATTTGTCTTTCCCAACTGCCTTTCATGTTGTATTGCATAATGAAATGCAGTCTCCATGGGTGGCAGTGGAATCATCATAAGCAAATTGGTTTTGACTCCTCCATATGGCTCATTCAATCCAGTTATAAATCTAGTCACAAATTCATTTTCACGGTACTTCCTAACTGTGGTCTCAGTGACACAATCAGCAACCCTATTACCCTGATCCCCACACATACAACCAGGAATAGGTAGAAATTGGGCCAACTCTTCCCAATATCCTTTCAACTCAGAATAAAACTAATTCACTGACTTGTTACCTTGTTTTAGAGTGTAGACTGCTGTCTGTAAATCGCTGATGCGGATGTTATCTGCCTACCCATACCTCTGTCTCAGATCATCCCAAAGAAGTTTGGCATTGTCCTGAGAAGACACACTGTTCACAAGACTGGGATCCAGTGATCCAAGAATCATAAAATAGACAGCCGTGTTGCTTTGCTCCCAGGCTTGGTAGCTCTCATGCCCTAGATCTGGAACTGGAATCGCACCAGTAATGAAACCAAGCTTGTTCTTGCTTTTGAGTGCAACACGTACTGTTCTGCTCCACAGATTGTAGTTGGCAGTGCCAGTAAGCTTGATTGGGAAGTTCAGAGATTCATTGGGGTTGATGTAGAATGGGTTGGTAACGGTGGTGATGGCAGTAGTCGCAACAGTAGATCCTGACGACATATCAGCAGCTGCTTCTGTCGTCATTTTTTGCAGAAATGAAGGCTTAACACTGAAGAAGGTGGAAGAAGAAGAATGCGGGATAATTGGGAGTGAAACCCTAGAAAAGGTAACCAGGCTCTGATACCATATGAAATTAGGTAACAGAAAATGGTAAAGGAACCCGCAGGAACCTTGTGGCTCAAAGGCCTTGCATATATACCCTGACAAACCTTCTCAACGAAGGAGATGAAAGTTACCAACGGTAACAAAACAGAAAAGTTCTATCTACCAACCAAAAATGAACACGTAAACTATACAGTAAAATTGGAAAACTAACTCTACACTGCCTAAGACAACATCGTACTCTACTCAGCTCATCACTTGCTTCTGAGGGAGAAACGTCGTCGTCCCACGAGCTCTGCAGTGCTGGAGTCCATATACACAAGCATCTTCAATAGTGGAGAGTCGATGATTGGAGATCAACTACTGGCTTCCATCGCCTCGTCGGTGAGAGAGAGGTGAGCGTTAGTTTGCGTCCTCAGATCGCGTGCAATTTCAACTCCCAAACCGTCGTCGCCATCGCTTATAGCAGTGAGTAGACCTCGGCCAAAAAGGGGGCATTTCGGTGACGTCGTGGCGAGAGTTGTGTCAGCGATGTCGATCGCTCGACTTCTTCCTCTACTTCACTTCTTCTTCAAGGGCAGAGTGGCTAGGCGGCTTAGCGATTAGGGTTTTGTGAAAGGTGAGGTCGTGACAGAGAGGGAGGACTGGGCTGGGCTTGACAATTAGTGTTTCACGAGTTGGGCTTGGGTATCTGGGCTAGGTTGGGCTGAGACTTGGGGTCGGGCTTTGAGCTAGGTAGGTAAGCTTCCAATTTTCCTGTTTTACCTGGTACGGTTTTTCTCCAAATGTAAGAGAACTAGTGATGGCAATGGGGCATGGCAGAGCGGGTACCTTAATTCCCATGGCCCGCCCGATGCTACTACGGAGCGGGGCGGATACACCCATTCTTACATGTTATTAAAAAAAATACATGCAAATTTTTCTTTTTACTATAAAACAAAGTGAAAACACTTTATGAATGAAAATTAGTGATAATAGAATGGGTAATTGAGTCTAACAAGTTGAAAAATTGACTCTAACTAGTTGAAGAAAAGTCAAAATAGGATAAATATGTATAAATACTGTAAGAAATTAAGATAAAATGAGTCTAGAACGGGACGGGACGGGTCTGAAGTAGATACCCATACCCCACCCCATGCTATTGTGGGTCAGGTAATATCCGTCCCATGGCGGGTCTGTACTATTTAATATCAGTGGGGCGGATTGAAATTGCCATCACTAAAAGAGAACTCATCCATGAGAAGTGCTAATGAAAGAGGAGGATCACCCACAAGAACGGCCTTTAAGGCTAATGAAACATGAGGATCATCTCACCCTGACATGAAATCACTGCTAACGTATATACGGAACAAAAAGAAGGGTGATGGCTTATAACAAATGTAAGAGAATCAATAATTTAGTAGCAAGTGAAAAAGGGGCAAAAGAAAAGAGAGAAAGTTTTCGGAAGTTAATTGATGAAGAGGGAGCACAGAACTCCCATATCCGAGCTATAGACCATCAAAATTTTGATTGAAGTGAAAAGAAACCAAGTTACGCCCACGAAGATAGAATTCAAAATTTTCTACGAAACAAACATACGCGAACGGAGGAACATTGACGAGATTATTGTTCTAAAGAAGGCAAGACTGCTAGTATATAATCTCATCTTACAGAAACACAACATCAAGCCTCAGTTCTCTCTACATCTTCGAGAATAAGGGCCTTGGTCTGCTTTCCTAGAAGATCAGTGTACTCTTGGAAAGGTGACTTGGTGAACCGTGTGTCCTTCCAGAAATCAGGCGTCAAGAACCCCTAAGTCTTCAGGAGGCAATCAAAAGTAGCCTGCATCAAACCAAGACCAGACCAACTTCAGATGAGTACAACCAGTTTCCCGAATCAGGATTACCACAAAGCATTATGAACCAAATCAGTCTGCCCCCAACTGCATACATTATGTTAAGTCTACCAAATTCAATTTAATGATACCACTTCCCATTTCATATACAATCAAACCCAATACAGCTTTGTCTTGAGAAGATTAAGCTGTGTGACCAAACTATCAGAAACAAACTGCACTACTTGACAAGCATTCCCCAGAGGTAAACTCCATCGCTACAACATACAACACCTTCAAGTACCCAACTCAGAGAATCAAACTCCCTAGCAATCCAACTAAGAAATGAACTTCATTAGCAATTGTGAGAGTTAACCATCCCAAACTTCACCTAGGTTGATTTCAGATACCACAAGTAAAACTATAACCTAGCTCATCCAATATCATATACATAGAGAGAGAAGAAACCTTCCAAAAGACAAATAATCAGCATTGGAACAAACGAACGGAAAAATCGAATCAGACCTTTACGAAATTGCCAAGGGTTTTTGTGGATCCACGGGAGGAAGTGAAAACGTCCTCAATCCCAACAAACTGCAGAACCTTCTTGGGCACGCGAGCTGCGACGATCCCAGCACCACGTGGAGCAGGCACCATCCGGACTGTAACGGAGCCACATTTCCCGGTGACCTTGCACGGCACCGTATGGGGCAGCCCGATCTTGTTTCCCCAGTACCCTCTCCTGACGGGAATCACAGATAGCTTCGCTAGAATGATAGCGCCGCGAATTGCAGTGGCAACTTCTTTACTACATTTGACACCCAATCCGACGTGGCCGTTCCCGTCGCCGACGATGACGAAGGCCTTGAATCTGGTGCGCTGTCCGGCACGGGTTTGCTTCTGGACTGGACTAATCTTCATGACCTCGTCCTTGAGAACGCCAGGGCCGACGAGGGTGTCTATGATCTGGTACTCCTTGATTGGGAGCGAGTGTAGGTAGATTTGCTCCAAGCTTCGAATCTTGCCTTCTTTCACCAGGCGGCCGAGCTTGGTCACAGGGACCCACTTCTCCTCCTCCTCGCGGCGTATCAGACTTGGAAGCTGAAGATTGAAGACCTGCATTTCAGCAGGACAGCTCTGCTCGTGTGGAGAAGAAGAAGACCAGAGTATTTACAAAGAAACCAAGGCAGAAACGTTTCTTTTCTGCCTTCCCCTCCACCTGACTTAAACGAAGAGCAAAACGGTGTCGTGGAGCTTCAAGTTTACCGTCAGGTGGAGCCAAGCAGAGCCAACGAAGAGAAGACATGTGGCTAACGTTTACAGCTCATTTTCATATTTCAGTTTTTGTTTTAACTTCCATTTCCGAATTTACTGTAGTGTATGGTTTACTCTACTTGAACTGATATATATATGAAATGATGGAGAGACCTCTCTCTCTTGCGGGTTTTCCCAATCCTATACCGCCTTATCCTTCTTCTTCTTCCTCTCTATACAAACCCTAAACTCATTGAGCTTTTCTACATGGTATCAGAGCTGGACTAAGATCCAGATTTCTTCACAATGAGTGGCAATGAAACTCCAGGTGGCTCACCATTCAATGGTACTGGTCCAATCCCTTTTGGAAGTTTCAATGCGCAGTCAGGAACAACGAGCAACAACAATGGAGGCACAGGACGTCCAGATCTGCAATTTGGTAACCCATTTTACATAAACCCAAATGAAAACATCTCTCAATCCATAGTCTCTAAGAACCTAGATGGACCAAATTATCAGATGTGGCAACGAGCTATTCGAATGGCTTTGAAAACAAAGCATAAGATTGGTTTCATCGATGGATCTATTCATATGCCGAGTGTGGATGATGTTAATTTTGGGTTATGGGATGCTTGCAATACTCTTGTCTTGTGTTGGATCTTGAACTCGATTGAGAAGGAAATTCGTCGAAGTGTAATGCAGCATGAGAATGCTAAGGCTCTTTGGGATGAGCTCAAGAGGAGATTTGGTCTTCCTAATGCCATCAAGCTTGCAAACTTGCAGGATGCAATTATTGCCTGTAAGCAAGGATCTATGAACATACCCAGTATTATACTGCTTTTAAGGGATTGTGGGAGGAAAATCTCCAGTTTAATCCAATAGTGGAATGTGATTGTGTGGTGCCAAGAGTTCGTCCTTGTGCAGCAGTGGAGGCTTTCAAACAGAAACAAGAAGTGGAGTATCTTATTCGATTTCTTAAAGGGCTGAGATCAGAATATGAGGTAGTTCACACTCAACTCCTCATGATGAAGCCATTGCCCACTGTTGATGCTGCTGTCAATGATCTGCTACAGCGTGAGCAAAAGATCAAGGGTGATAGAGGTGGAGGAACCAAGGGAGTTCAGACAGTAGCACTTGCAGTATCTGGTGCACCTGGGAGTCAGAACAAACCCCCTAGTTCTGATGGGAAGAAATTTTGCAGGTATTGCAAGCAAGAGAATCACAACATAGAAGAATGCTATCGTCTGAAAAACAAAAAGGCTAGGATGGCTGGGGGAAATGTTGCTGCAGCAGTATCACAGTCTGATTCTTCTACAGACAGTGACAGTGGCTCTTCAGAGTCCAGGCTCAGCATTGATACCAAACAACCAAACAATAACTTTGGCTTGTCTTCAGATGAGCTTAATAAGCTCAGATTCCTGCTTCACTCAGTTCCTCCTTCATCGAGCAGTCCTTCCCCACCAGCTTCACCATCCATTAATCACCATGCTTTCTCTGTGGCACAGCACATTCCTCACTTCCCTAATTGTGCTGGTAAGTATGTTCTCTCCTCATGCTTGCAACACAATTCTGATTCTCTTTTGGGAATATGGATCCTGGACACTGGGGCTTCAGATCACATTGCTTGCAGCTTGTGTCTGTTCATTGAATCCACCCCAGTGACTGATCAACATGTCTTCTTACCAACTGGTTCTAAGGTTGCTGTTAGCCATGTAGGTAGAGTCAAGTTGCCTACAGGTCTTGTTCTAGAAAATGTCCTCCTAGTGCCTAGTTTTTCATTCAATCTTGTCTCAGTTAGTAAGCTCACAAATGACCTTCCCATTTCCTTACACTTTGAATCTGATTCTTGCCAAATTCAGGACCTGGTGACCCACAGCAGGACTGGTTTGGCAAAACAGATTAAGGGGCTCTACCAACTCACTTTCAAGAACTCTTCACTCCTCAAACACCACAGGCAGCTGCTACATACAATTTCACTCCCCAAACTATTGAACTATGGCACTGGAGGCTAGGACATCTAAACAAAGACAAAGAAAAACTCTTAGTACCCTGTAATAGGACTTCTGTTTTTCATTGTCAGACTTGTCATTTTGCCAAACACAAAAGATTACCATTTCCTATCAGTTCTAGTCATGCTCCAGAACCTTTTTCCCTTATTCATGTGGACATATGGGGTCCTCTTGCTGTAAAATCCCATGAGGGATATTCCTACTTTCTTACTATAGTAGATGACTTCTCTAGAGGTGTTTGGACATATCTGATGAGATTTAAATCTGAAGCTAGTGCTTTGTTGGAATCATTTTGTGTGATGGTCTCCAAACAATTCAGTAAGCATGTTAAGGTTGTGAGAAGTGATCAGGGGAACGAGTTTCATATGGCAGATTTTTACAAAACTAATGGGATTGAGCATCAGTTGTCATGTGTTGAAACTCCTGAGCAGAATGCCAGAGTTGAACGCAAGCATCAACACATTCTCAACGTTGCTAGATCACTCAGATTCCAGTCAGGGGTGCCATTGCAGTTTTGGAGTGATTGCATCCTCCATGCTGTATTTCTCATCAATCGGATTCCCTCTTTAGTTCTTAACAACAAGTCCCCCTATGAATGTTTATACAACAGACCTCCTAGCCTAGCTAATTTGAAAGTTTTTGGCTGTCTATGTTATGCTTCCACACTACATAGAGACATGACCAAATTTGACAGCGGGGCTAGGCAGTGTATTTTTATTGGTTTTCCATCAGGCACCAAGGGTTTCAAACTCTATGACATCAATTCCCATTCCTTCTTTGTTTCACGTGATGTCACCTTTTATGAAACCATTTTCCCTTTTTCCACTCCTAATTCTCAGCCTTCTCTATCCATTCCAGACCCCATTACTCCTACTCTTACCCCTATTCCAAATATTCCCAGTCCCATTCCTTCTTCTGCTCCTTCCAGTTCCTCACCTATCCCTTCTTCTTCTACTCAGAATGCTACCATCCCCATATCACCAAATTCCCCTTCTACTTCCTCTTCTGAGGACTCTTCTTTACCTTCACCTTCACTGGTGTCTGATGTGGTTGGTTTGCATTCTGGGGGGGGGGAGGATGCTGAGATTGAGGTGTTTTCTGATCCTAATGACACTGATGATGCTGCATTTATTCGCAAGTCCACAAGGAATAAGACTGTGCCTGCCTGGCACAAGGATTATCACTTCAACATTGCAGCATCATGTTCCAAACACCATGTCTGGCAGCACTTCTCTTATGAGCAATTGTCCCCTTCCCAGAGGGCTTTTGCCATGAGTGTGATGCTAGATGAGGAACCTACTTCATATGCAGAAGCTTGCAAAGATCCCAGATGGAATCAAGCATGCAATGAGGAGCTGGCAGCCCTGGAAGAGAACCAGACCTGGGAAGTGGTGAAGTTACCAAAGGGAAAGAAAGCAGTAGGATCAAAATGGGTATTCAAAATCAAACACAAGTCAGATGGAACTATTGAAAGGTTTAAATCTAGAGTTGTAGCCAAGGGTTATACTCAGATTTATGGAATTGATTTTCTGGACACTTACTCTCCTGTGGCCAAAATCAATTCAGTTAAAACACTTTTAGCAGTTGCTGCTTCCAAGGAATGGCATATACATCAAATGGATGTGTCAAATGCCTTCTTACATGGAGATCTGGAGGAAGAAGTGTATCTGGAAATTCCTCCTGGAGCTAATGTTCCTAGAGATCAAGGTCTGGTTTATAGACTTAAGAAGTCTTTGTATGGTCTCAAGCAGGCCAGCAGGCAGTGGTTTGCTAAACTAACCAATGCATTGATGAAAAATGGCTACTCACAAACTGCCTCAGACTATTCTATGTTTGTGAGATGGATTCAAGGAAGAGTGGTTGTTGTATTAGTATATGTTGATGATATACTAATTGCAGGAAGCTATTTGGTAGACATAGAGCAGTTAAAGCTTTTCCTGAGCAAAGAATTCAAGGTCAAGGACCTTGATCGGATGAGTTATTTCCTGGGACTGGAAGTGTTGAGAGACCACAAAGGGATCTCCTTGAGCCAGAAGAAGTACTGTCTTGAATTGGTGACTGACACAGGCTTTTTGGAAGCTAAAGGTTGTCTTTCACCTGTGGACTGTAATGTCAAACTATCAGCTGCTCAGGGGGAATCATTGCCAGATGCCACTGTCTACAGAAGACTAATAGGCAGATTGCACTATCTCACCATAACCAGGCCAGACATAACTTATGCAGTTCAACAACTAGCACAGTTCCAGGCAAATCCCTGTGTTGAACATCTTCAGGGCTGCACACAGGCTTATCAGATACTTGAAGCAAACACCTGGGCAAGGCTTACTATTCAGGGCTGATTCAAAACTTGAGTTGCAAGGTTACTGTGATGCAGATTGGGCGAGTTGCCCTGATTCTAGAAGATCCTTGACAGGATATTGTACTTTCCTAGGCACCTCATTGATTACTTGGAAGACCAAGAAACAAACAACGGTCTCAAGGTCATCCTCTGAAGCTGAATACAGAGCATTGGCACAAGTGGTCTGTGAAGTGCAGTGGCTCAGAAACCTCCTGTTAGAAATGGGAGTTCAGGTACCTCTTCCTATTAATCTCTTTTGTGACAATAAATCTGCCCTACACATCGCTGAGAATCCTGTGTTCCATGAGCGAACCAAGCACATAGAGATTGACTGTCATGTCACAAGAGAGAGACTGAAATCTGGTTTAGTCAAGCTGAGTCATATCAGAACAGATGATCAGGTTGCTGATATTTTCACTAAAGGAGTCACGAGATATCGTCTGAAGTTTTTGTTGGACAAGCTGGGAGTATTCAATGCCTACTCGCCAGCTTGTGGGGGAGTATCAGACTTGGAAGCTGAAGATTGAAGACCTGCATTTCAGCAGGACAGCTCTGCTCGTGTGGAGAAGAAGAAGACCAGAGCATTTACAAAGAAACCAAGGCAGAAACGTTTCTTTTCTGCCTTCCCCTCCACCTGACTTAAACGAAGAGCAAAACGGTGTCGTGGAGCTTCAAGTTTACCGTTAGGTGGAGCCAAGCAGAGCCAACGAAGAGAAGACATGTGGCTAACGTTTACAGCTCATTTTCATATTTCAGTTTTTGTTTTAACTTC